GTGGGGGGGGGCTCTGAAGTTATGGAAGCCTGCAGAGCTCCACCAGTTAACAGGTGAGTGTGTGTGTGTGTGTGACAGGGGATGTATAATGCACCCACCCCCCTGCACAGAGGTGTCACCAGGGTTCAGGGAGGAAGTGTCACGTTCCCACACAGATGCACTCCTCGGCATGAATTCCACGAGCAGGCGCGAGCTCGTGACTGTAAGTGTGCACGCGTGTATTCCATATTCATGCGTGTGGTTATTATGAACTGGTGCCACTGGCAGTTCTCTCTGGGCCCCCACGTCAGGGGGGGTTGACAGCAAGAAGTGCCTGGGTTGCACACTGGTGTCAGTGCCTGGCAACTAATTCTTGGTAACTTTTCCTCCGCGTCCGAGATAATGGCGATAAGAAGCGGAGGGGGGAAAAAAAGTGCTTTTTTTTTAGATTTTCCTGGCGTTTTTTGACTTTTCTCGCCAGATTAAACTGAGCCATGATGCTGCTTTCATTGTACACCAGAGCCATTGTTGGGTTTTTGATAACAAACCCGAGGCAGAGATTGAAGAAAATGTTAAAAAAAACATTATCTAGTTTCTCAAATGGGAGCCTTTGCTGCTTTTCTATATTTTTTATCATTGTAAACTGAATGTTTTTGAGTTTTGGCACTTTCTGACATTTAAAGATGAAAAAGAACCAAAAAATGTATCTGCAATAAAAAATATTTGTCTGTTAAAATCCAGTTGGAGGTTGGAAAAATACCTTTATCCTTTCTCTCTGACATATATATTGAATATCAGCTTGTTCCAGCTATTTATTGAAGCTCCATGTTAGCTATACCCAAAAGTATTTTTTTTTAGCATTATTTATACACCTTGCCTCCAAATTCAGCCTGACAGATTTGGTGTCTTTGGAGACTCTGGGCTCTCCACTCACATATAAAATAAAGTCCTGCAGGTTTAAGCAAAGATTTTGAATTAGTTTGAGGGATCTATTTGTGAGTCAGCAGGGGGCTGAAGAGGTTAAACATGTTTTCACCTTGAATTTAAGACAAAAAACTCAACGAAAACTAAAACTGCAGCTGAGACTCGTCTTATTTGTGACAGGAAGTTTGGAGGTGTGTGAGGTGACTCGTAAAGGAAAACACACCCTGAACCCTGCCCTGATCCTCCTGCATTAAACATCACGCAGACCGTCCACTTTTCATTTTTCAACACGCGCA